CGCAGGGACTGCACTGGTTTGCAGCTAATAGGAATTCGATAGGCATCACTCCTCTCCTGATGCCATTCCGAGCCTTGGGGCGATGGTTCAACTGTGGCCAGACACATGGTGGTAGTGGCAACAGGGAGGACACTTTATCTGCACCTGTCACTGCATGGGCAGCCATATCCTCTGGCCTTGCCAAGTTCTTGGGAGCTGGAGCCGAGGGACTGCAGCAGGAGTGACAGCTGCTCTGAATAGGCCTTGTCACTCATTCCCTAGCATGTCACCCACTAAGAATATTTTTATTGTTAGGCTTCAGCTAAGGGATATTATCAGAACAGGTAGGCGAAGACGTAGACAGTCGACGAGAAGGCCCTTTTACAGAAGTAATTACAGACAACTTCCTTAATTTGAAGAAAGGGACGTTTGAGCACAGGAAGCACATGGAAGTCCTAATACACATGACCAGAAAGATCTTCACCATGACCCACTGCAGTCAAATTCTTCACACTCCAACACGAAGACAAGACTCTAAAATCACACAAGAGAAACACCAGACCTTTTTCAGAGGATCTCCAATTAGAATCACATCTGACTTCTCATCAGACACCCTATACGGGCTAGGAAAAAGTGGTGAGATTATATGCCACGTCTTAAAAAAAAGAGCTGTTAATCAAGAATAAAGTACTTTGCAAATCTCTCACTTAGGAATGAAGATGAAATAAAAAATTAGAGCCTGCTGAGGAAATTTCTACTGGCCTCCTGACACACACTTCTGCTCCACAATAAACTTTCCACCTCAGCTTCCTGTGACTTTCTGAAGTATGCACCTGTACCTAACTCAAGACACTGAATCCAGTTATAAATCCTCCAACAAAGAAAATGATAAGCTCTCCTATTCAATACCACTTCACTGATAGCTTCTACCCGTACACGTCCAGAATACAGAATATGAAATACTCGTTTTATGCCACCTGAGATACTTTAATACCAAAATCAAATATATTACTGGGAAAACTATGCACAAATGTCCCTCATAAACAGAGAACTCTCCAAATCCTCGAAATACGATCAAATTAAATCTAGGAATACTTTAATGTGTCATGACTAAATGGGGCTTCTCTCACAAATGAAGTGGGTTCAGTGTTAGAAAAACTCATCTATGTAATTCATGTGTGGGTGGCTAAAGAAGAAAAATATGAAAGACGTGCAGAAATTAGCCAAATGCTGATCCAACAAAACAGATAAAAATCTATGGCAAGCATCACACTGATGTGGTGAAAGCCAGTAGAGAAGGGTTTCCCCTCAAGGAGGACATAAAAGCTAAGGACATCCGCGGTCATGGCTCCTACTTGATGTCACAGCAGGGAGTCCACTGAGTGTTGTTAAAGCAAGAAAAACACAATGAAATGAGAGAGCTGAAGGGCAGATGTTAAACTCTGGGTTTCCCGAAGCCTTGATCATCTACACATAGTTCCAAAAGCATTTTCTAAACAGCTACTAGTCACAAGAAATTATTTCAGCATGACCATGATGGGTAGAAGGGCAATGTCAAAATATCAAGTGCAGGGCTGGCGCTGTGGCCTACCAGATAAAGCCGCCACCTACAGCACTGACATCCAACATGGGCACCTGCTCAAGTCCCGGACGCTCCACTTCTCATCTTCTTCTCTGCTATGACCTGGGAAAGCAGTGGAAGATAGCCCAAGTCCGTGGGCCCCTGCACGCTCTTGTGAGACCCAGAATAAGCTCCTGGTTCCTGGTTTCTGATCGGCTCAGCTGAGGCCACTGCAGCCATCTGGGGGTGAACCAGCAGATGGAAGACCTCTCTCTGTCTCTGTCCCTGTCTCTATCTCTTTCCCTCTGCTTCTGCCTTTCAAATAAATAAAAAGTCTATTGAAAGCAATTATTTATTATAAAATCAATTGTATACCACCATCAATGAACAGGCAGATACTGATATAAAAATTAATTGTATACTACCATCAGCGAACAGGTAGACACTGATTTGAAATTTAAAATAGCCTACTGAAATGAAAACTCGTAAACCCTATCAATAAAATACACAATATGTTGGCTGAAGACTAAAATGCTGATAAAGGAAACTAAAGAAGATCTAAATAAATACACTGTGCATAGGACTGGAAGACTGAATATTATTAATATACCATTTCTTCTAAAATGTTCTATAGGTTGAACACAATCTAAATAAAAAAACAAAACAAAACAAAACAAAACAAAAAAACAAACAAAAAAACCTCCAGCAAGAGCTTTTGGAGAAAAAAAAAAAAAAAAAAAAAACCTGACTGTAGTTAGGAAAACGCAAGACAACTGACTATCAACTCCACCGTGAAAAACAAAGAACTGGGTGAAATCACGATACTGTCTTTCCAGACTTTCTTTTTTTTAATTTTTTAAATTTATTTATTTATTTTTTTGACAGGCAGAGTGGACAGTGAGAGAGAGAGAGAGACAGAGAGAAAGGTCTTCTTTGACGTTGGTTCACCCTCCAATGGCCGCCACGGCCGGTGCGCTGCAGCCAGCGCACCGCGCTGATCCGATGGCAGGAGCCAGGTACTCATCCTGGTCTCCCATGGGGTGTAGGGCCCAAGTACTTGGGCCATCCTCCACTGCACTCCCAGGCCACAGCAGAGAGCTGGCCTGGGAGAGGGGCAACCGGGACAGAATCTGGCACCCCGACCAGAACTAGAACCCGGTGTGCCGGCGCCGCTAGGTGGAGGATTAGCCTAGTGAGCCGCGGCGCCGGCTCCAGACTTTCAATAAACCTACAATAACCAAGACCTTGCTTTGGTATTCGTGAAAGAACAGAAGAAACAAGTTTCAATGGAGTAGGATAGTGAGTCCAAAAGTAAACCTCATGCCAAAACACATAAGCAAGCATTGTTAAAACTACAAAGAGAAATACACAAAGGCACTATTACACTCACAGACATCAAGACATCTCTTTCGTTAACAGATCAGCAGTCAGATAATCAGTAAGGATGTAGCTTAACAGAAAAGCACCTGAATCAACCAAGCATTGAACGGATCCTTAGCGGATGCACCGTTCTCAGCAACGCAACATGACACGCTTCTCAGACCCACACGGCACATCCACTATGACCACGTTCGTGGCTGTACAGTAGACCCCAACTCCTAAGGAAGAGGCGCCACACAAGGTAAGCTCTCAGATCACAATGCAACCTCTCTACTGAGAGATCAGTACGAAAAGGCTGGAAAATCCCAAATACTCGTGAGAACAATCAACCTACCTCAAAATGACACATTTATAAAACTCAAATAAAAAAAATACTTCAAACTAAATGGAAACTGTTAGGCTGGCGCCGTGGCTCAATAGGCTAATCCTCCACCTTGCGGCGCCGGCACACCGGGTTCTAGTCCCGGTTGGGGCGCCGGATTCTGTCCCAGTTGCCCCTCTTCCAGGCCAGCTCTCTGCTATGGCCAGGGAGTGCAGTGGAGGATGGCCCAGGTGCTTGGGCCCTGCACCCCATGGGAGACCAGGAAAAAGCACCTGGATCCTGGCTCCTGCCATCAGATCAGCGCGGTGTGCCGGCTGCAGCGGCGGCCATTGGAGGGTGAACCAACGGCAAAGGAAGACCTTTCTCTCTGTCTCTCTCTCTCTCACTGTCCACTCTGCCTGTCAAAAAAAAAAAATGGAAACTGTATCCTGCCCATTTATAGTAATGGATGCATATTTTAGAAAAGAAGAACCAAGATCCATGAGCTGTGCTTTCACCCTAGGAGATCAGAGGAAGAACAGCAACTTAAACACTTAAAGCAAGGTAAGGAAAATCAAATCAATCATGGAGAGATACAAGTCGATGGGACTGAAAAAAAGCTCAATCGCAGAAAAACATCGACAAAACTAACATTTGGTGCTTTGAACACATCCACAAAATTCGTGAACTTCTTCTCAGGACCAATCAAGAAAAAAGGTTCAAGTTACTGAGTTGGTTAATTAAACAGTGCCACCATGACTGCATGGAAAAAATAACTGTAAAGGAATAGTATGAACAACTCTGTGACAAAAATTATATAAGATAAATGAATTGCGTGAATGTCTTGAAACGTAGAATATGCCAAAATCCACACAAAGGGAAAAGAAAAACAGGAATGCTTCCATAATTACTAAGGAAGTTATAATTTATAATAACTAGAGTAACACATAAAGTATCAGAAAATGTATTAGACAGATATGAGTTACTGAATTCACATATCCCGTTTCTGCTCAGCTAAAAAGAAACAATGGGCAGAAAAGTACTTACAAGACCTGCTTTGTGGCACAGCGGGTTACGACACTGCAGGTTACGACACTGCCTAGAACAATGTCATTTCATATAGATGCCAACTGGATTCCTGCCTGCTATGCTTTTTTTTTTAAAAGCTTTATTTATTCATTTCAAAAGCAGAATTACAGAGATTCAGAGGGAGAGAGAAATAGAGAGAGAAGGTCTTCCATCCACGGGTTACTCCCCAGATAGATGCAACAGCCAGAGCTGAGCGGATTTGAAGCCAGGAGCCAGGAGCAGTTCCTTCAGGACTCCCACACAGGTGCACGGGCCCAAGGACTTGGGCCCTCTTCTACTGCTTTGCCAGGGCACAGCAGAGAACTGGATCGGAAGTGGAGCTGCTGGGACTCAAAGCAATGCCCATGTGGGATGCTGGTACATGCAGGCGGCTGCTTCATCCACTATACCACGGCTCCACCCACCCCACCCTCCAACCCTCATCAACCCAGGCTGTTCCCACTTGAGATCCAGCTGTATGCTCAAACGCCTAAGAAAGCAGAGGAAGCAGCGCAAGGACTTGGGCCCCCAAAACCACACTGGAGTACTGGATAAAGTACATGGCTTCTGCTTTGGCCTGGCCCAGCCCCGGGACGTTGGAGCCACCTGGGGTAGGAACCCACACATTGAATACCTCTGTTGCACTGCCTCATCTATAACTCTGCTTTGGAAACCAATCTTTAAAAAGAAAAAAAAATATCTAGTACTTACTATGAGGTATCAGAACCTTGGACAGGCTGGAATAGAGCACACAGGATTCTTGGGGTTTCTCTACGCTTCTGCTTTCTCTTCAGTGTGTGCAGTCTGTGAAAATTGACCAGATTACGTGCAAATTAATTCGAGTGACCCGTACCCATTTCCCTGCACACACACATTACAGTTCTGAACAACCCAGAGAAGAGAGGCCATGAGTCAAGGACTGTTCTCATGGACATGGCCAAGGCTACTTCCAGCCAGGGACAGAAAAACCCCCAAACAGAACCAGGGATGTGGGAAAAGTTCTTGCTCTCCCAACCCCCACCACCTGCCCACTGGGACTCCTGTCACACTCCCCATCCCTTTCCTTTCCCCTACACATGTTTCTTCTCCTCGTTTCATGCCTCCCCACAATCATGCCACCTTTTCATGCTCCCCTCTTCCTCTCTCCTCCCGCCTCCCCCTTGACTGCCTTTCTCCTTCTACTATCCCCCTCAAACCCTCACATGCACACCCCTTTCCCGCTCTCTCCACCCAAGTCCCCACCTACACCATGTCAGAAAGGCCAACACAGCAAACTCACCGCAGAGAGAGCGTTTCTGTTCTTCTGGAACAGGAACTCAGTAAGAGATGTAGTCTTCCAGAAGGAGCCGAAAAAGAGGACCGAGCCTAGAAATTTCCAGAAGCCCAAGGTAACTGATACACCAGACTTGGGCCCCAGCATCTCCGGATCCAGGCCTGACCCTGGGGTTCTGAGTCTCACTCAGGCTCTGCCGGCAGGGTCAAGGATAGCTCCTCATTGCTTGAACAGGCTCTCAGGGAGGAGTCGCCGCACCGCAGATTTCCACCTGAGCACCTCAGGTCAGAAGGTTTGGTGCGGCCGGCGCCGCCGCTCAATAGGCTAATCCTCTGCCTGCGGCGCCTCTAGTCCTGGTCGAGGCGCTGGATTCTGTCCCGGTTGCCCCTCTTCCAGGCCAGCTCTCTGCTGTGGCCAGGGAGTGCAGTGGAGGATGGCCCAAGTGCTTGGGCCCTGCACCCCATGGGAGACCAGGAGAAGCACCTAGCTCTTGCCTTCGGATCAGCGTGGAGTGCCAGCCGCAGCTCGCCGGCCCCGGTGGCCATTGGAGGGTGAACCAACGGCAAAAGGAAGACCCTTCTCTCTGTCTCCCTCTCTCACTGTCCAATCTGCCTGTTAAATAAATAAATAAAATTAAAGTAAAAATAAAAAAAGAAGGTGCCGTGCATGTGTGTGCACTTCTGGGTTGCAGCGCTGTACACAGGTGCACTCCACATGGGCAGCTGCCAAGGCACCAGGGGACGCATTTGCATGATGCCAAATCAACACATTCAGCGTCCAACGCCCCAGGGCCACTTATAGCCTGGCGGCTCCAGACTGTGACCAAGTGAGGCAGCGGCTGATGACCCAGGTACTCTTCTGGGGGTTCACCCCCCACACCGTGGCTATAAAGGCCAAGACTGGGACAGGCCAAAGCAGAAGCCAGGGACTTTTTGTCCAATGCTGCATTCTGGGTTCAGGGACCTAAGTCCTTGGGCTGTCTCCCACTGCTTTCCCAGGTGTGTTAGAAGACAGCTGTATCCCACAGGGAATGGCTTCCAGGAGGGGCCGGCACTGTGGGGTAGCAGGAAAAGCCACCACCCACAGTGCCGACATCCCATGTGGGTGCCAGTTTGAAAACCAGCTGCTCCAGTTTCAATGCAGCTCTCCATGTGGTCATGGAAGGCAGTAGAAGATGGCCCAAGACCTTGTGCCTCTGTATCCTTTCAGGAGACCCCAGCAAGGCTCCTGGCCCCAAGCCCCTGGCTCCTGCCTCAGGATCTGATAAGCTCTGTCCATTGTAGCCAACTGCAGAGTGGACCAGCATATGGCAGGTCTGTCTCTCTCTCTCTCTCTCTCTCTCTCTCTGTAAATCCCAATTTCAAATAAATAAAAATATCTTTAAAAAGGCAATTTTTTCAAAAAGGAAAACATACCTATAAATAAAATAATACCTCAAGGGCATCAACAATTTTATTTAGAATTTGATATTATATGCATTACCTACCATATTAACACAGAATTTGAAAAAGAGTTTAACTCAGTCTTAGAAAAGATTTTGGTACCCATTCATCTCTTCATCCTTACAAACATTCTGTATGGTATTATCTCTGACTTGTGCATGAGGAAATCTTTGTAATATATTTTTCAGACACTTATGTACACACTTGCAAAAGGACTTGAAACACCTGTGATCTACAGAGTTCTTCACGGAACACAGATCTGCATTTAAAACATGGGTTGTGTTAGAAGTAGGCCAAATCATGTCTTCCACAAAGCAAGACTGAATGCAGAAAGGTATCATCTGAGGTCACTGTTGCCATTTTCTACGTGCACGTTATCATGTTGGCATATTTTTCTCTCATGTCTCAATATTAGATACAAATTGGAAGGGAGTTAAGCCCAACTATCCCTATCTGCAGATGACATGATTCTATATATAGGAGATCCAAAAGACTCCACTAAGAGACTATTGAAACTCAGAGTAGAATGTGGTAAAGTGGCAGGATAGAATATCAGCAGCCTATTTGTATACACAAACAATGTCATGGCTGAGAAAGGACTTCAAAGACCAATCCCATTCACAGATGCTACAAAGAAAACAAAATCGCTTGGATAAATAAAACCAAGGATGTTCAATATCTGAGGATCATAACAGATTAAAGAAAGGGATAGAAGAGGACACCAAAAAAAAAAAAAAAAACCAAATTGAGAAGCTTCTGCCCTGCAAGACTAAAGAGGCAACTAATGGAATGGGAGAAATTATCTGCAAAGTATGCAAACTGATAAAGAATAAACTACCAGAAACTTTCAAGAAACTCAACAACAGCAAAACAAACCACCCACTCAAGAAATGGGCAAGGGACTTCAACAGGCTAAATATTTCAAGAAAGGAAATCTAAATTGCCAACAAACACATGCAGAAATGCTCAGGATCACTAGCCATCAGGGAAATGCAAATCAATACTACAATGGCCTTGAGGATATGGTGGGAAAAGGCACCCGCATCCACAGCTGGTGGGAATGTAAACTGGTATCGCCACTGTGGAAGACAGTAGGGAGATAAATAAGAAATCTGAATATAGGCCGGTGCCGCGGCTCACTAGGCTAATCCTCAGCCTTGCGGCGCCGGCACACCGGGTTCTAGTACCGGTCGGGGCGCCAGATTCTGTCCCGGCTGCCCCTCTTCCAGGCCAGCTCTCTGCTGTAGCCAGGGAGTGCAGTGGAGGATGGCCCAAATCCTTGGACCCTGCACCCCATGGGAGACCAGGAGAAGCACCTGGCTCCTGCCATCAGATCAGCGTGGTGCGCTAGCTGCAGCGCGCCAGCCACCGCGGCCATTGGTGGGTGAACCAATGGCAAAAGGAAGACCTTTCTCTCTGTCTCTCTCTCTCACTGTCCACTCTGCCTGTCAAAAAATAAAAAAAATAAAAATAAAAAAGAAATCTGAATATAGACGTACCATAAGAGCCAGCCATTCCACCCTGTGTATATACCCAAGGGAAATGAAAACAACATACCAACAAAGAGTTATTGCTGCCCCCATATTTACTAAGCTCAATTCATAATAGCAAAGATATGCAATCAGCCAAAATGCCCATCACCTCAAGACAGAATAAAGACATTATGGGCTATGTACACCATACATGCATATACAGCCTACATAGCCTGGCTACTGTGCACCCTACTGCAGTAAGCATAAGCCTGTGAAAACCTCTCTGTCTACACAATGGTTTCATTTCCTTCAGTATGTTCCTAGGAGTGGGTACATCAAAACAGTTTTCCAGGTTGACAGGACTAATTTAACATGAGAAATTGCACTACTATACAGGTATATATTACAGAATACAGACATCGGACCCATAAACCCAATTTTACCTTAAAACACCAGAACAGCAAAGTAAATCTTAAGAAACTGGAAGGGGAAAAAGGATTGAAACGGAAGTGAATCCAACGGCATAGAAAATATCACAACAGACATTCAGTGAGACCAAAGTACAGTGCTTGAAAACTCAGTCACCTGACAAAACGTGTATCCACAGGAAGCAGGGGAAAAAAGGAGAACAGACTCAAGTGGCTTGACAACAGAAATGAAAGAGGACATCGCTACCAAACTTGCCAAAATAATACTCCAAAAACACTAGGGAAAAACCAAGGCACAAGGATTTGGTCAACCTAGATAGAGTGGACTGATTCTCAGAAAGACGCAAACCACTAAAACTGAATACAGTGAAACAAGAAACTCTGAATACACTTCTAATTTGAAAAAAGACCGTAGTTGCAGGGAAACAGAAACAAACAAACAAAAAATGAAGAAAAGTTCAGGACCAGATGGCTCCACCGGTGAGAACTCCCATGGAAAAGATAATTAAAATGCGTGATTCGCAAACCCTTCCAACAAGGAGATGAAGAGGAAAAGCCTCCCATTTCATTCCATCAGACCAGCCTTATCCCAACATGCAAAACAAGCACATCATAAGGAAAATGGCACACACATACATACCCGTCAGGAATGGGCCACATGCCTCAACAAAACATTACCAGACGCCAACCAGAAGCACAACCAAAGCTTAGCACACTGTGCGCAACTGACAGTTACTCCGGAAATGCAAGGGTGGCTACCACACAAAATCAGTAGATCACAAAACAGAACACACATGGGGAAAGCCCACAGAGTATCCCGATAGACACAGAAAACCCAGTTCACAAAAACACAAGTCATCACATTAGGAACACAAGGTACACCTCGGCCTGACCAGGCTCTTTCATGAAAAGCCCACAGAGCGCCAACATCACACCCAACGTGAGGAACCCGAAACTGTCCTCCTAGACCAGGACACAGACACGCACTTTCGCTCTCGTTCCTCCCATCAACAGTCTCTGAGGTCTAGAGCAGGGCGGCTGGGCCCTCAAAAAGCAAACACACGGGAACGCGGGGCCGTTCCGGGAGGAGACCGAGCCACCTCTGCTCTCGCACAGCTGCTCGCACCCTGGGGACCTTTCCAGACGGTACGCACAGCACGACCGCGACTCCACCCGCGCCTTCGCGACCCAAGAGGCGCAGGCAGGCTGGCGGCCAAGACCCCCAGCGGGAAAACGCAACAGCCGCGCGTCACTCACCTCCAAGGGGGGTCCGGTCTGCTGGTGGGACAGAGGTCCGCGAAGGACGTCGTTTCCGGATGGGGCTGAAGAGGAGAAATGCGCCTGGGAAACGGCGCGGCAGCCTCGGACACGCAGCCTCTCCTCATCCCGGCCTGACCCTGGGGCCGCTGGGTCTCCCTCAGGCTCCTCTCCTCCAGGCTTGCACAGGCTCTCAGGCAGGAGCGGATGCGGTGCTGACTCCCACCTGAGCGCCAGCAGCCAGGCTGCAGGTGTACTTCCGGGTCACTGTGCCAGGCGCAGGCGCACTCCTCACTGGCCTTCACCACGGCACCCCAGGATGCACCTGCACACTGCTGCATCCACCATCCAAAGCCCCAGGGCCGCTTCCAGTCTTCCTCATCTACATAGTGAGCATTTGGTTTACTGGGGATTTTTGGTTCTTGGAGCCCGTCATGTAGTTGGTGCTGTTCCTGCCGGAGCAGCTCTGGGCTACTCCTTTCCCCAGCTCCCCTGCTGTTAAGAAGTCAGCAGATTCTTCCTCCTCTCCTTTGGATTACCTGGCTGAGTTCTCAATGAGATCATTTCATTAGGCTCCTAGTGTGCCTTAGCTAGCTGATCTCTCCATGGGTTGTGCACGCCTGGGGACAGGGATCCTGCTGTCTTTCTTTCCCTGTAAGTCAGGCAGTCTGTGTGGAGCTGAACAACTTGACACTGTCTTTTCTGAAGGCTTAATAACCCAGGCAGAGTGAGAGCCAGGAGTTAGAGGACTGCTGTTTCTCTTCAAGGGATGGAATCTCGCTGAGTGGTGTCAGGGAGGGTCTTCCTCACAGGATGATGGCTGCTTAGGCAGTGTCTGCGTGTTGGGGGGAGTGGAGTGAAATCTGGGCACAGTGGTGGGAGAATTGGCAGACCCCTGAGCTGGGGTGAGTCTCTGAGCCTTGGCTTCCTGATCTGTGGAGAAGGGATGGCAGTGACTGTGTGTGTCCCGAGTTTGCACGGTCCTGGATGCCTGTCGCTGCTGCCGCAGTCATCTCAGGTCTAGGAATCCCTGACATTCAAAGGCACCTTGCAGTTTCTATCCGCCTCTGACCTTTTATGGTGCTGGGTTCTGTACCCGGATGGAGGGTGGCAGCAGACCCCGAGTTTTCTTTGTAAAAGCTTTTTGAAAACTGCAGTTGAAGCATTTAAATATTTGTTGTTATTTATGTAAGACGCTGAGTGACAGAAAAAAGAGAGAGAAATCTTCCATCCAGCGGTTCACTCCACAAATGCCTGCAACAGCCAGGGCTGGGCCAGGCCAAAGTTAGGAGCCCAGAGTTCCTTGCGGGTCTCCATGTGGGTGGCAGGGACACAAGCACTTGAGCCATCACCTGCTGCCTCCCGTGGTGCACGTGAGCAGGAAACCAGATCTGCATCATGGAGCAACCGAGACTTGAACCAGACTCTCCAGTGTGGGATGTGGGTGTCCCAAGCTGCAGCTTAACCTGCTGCACCACATTGCCTGCCACACTTTGAAGCATTTTAATGATAAATTTTAGCTTACAAATTATGTATGTTCCTTTTATAAATCTTGAAAAATATAAGTGGATAGGAAAAAAATAATTCCTCATCCTGCATCCTAACTGTGCATAGACAGGCACACTTAACATTATGTGTTTATTTAGTATTGTTTATTCTTTTTAAAAATTGGGTTCATTTTTAAAAATTGAGTTTATTTTATAAATCTGTATTCTGATTTTTGAAGTAGCATAAGCCTTTTCCATATTATGAAAGTTTTTTTAATAAATGTCACTTTTATTATTTTTAAAAGGTTATTTATTTGAGAGGCAGCAGCTAAGCCATCAACTGGGACACCTGCATCCCCCATCAGAGTGCCTGTTTCAAGTCTCTGACACTGTTATTCCAACCCTTCTTCCTGCTAATGCACACCCTGGTAGGCAGTATATGGCGGCACAGTGTTTGGGTTCCTGTCACTCACATGCGAGACCTGGATTCAGTTCTCGGCTCTAGGCTTTGGCCTGGCCCAACCGTAGCTGTTGTGGGTATTTGGGGAATGAACCAGAATATGGAGGATTCCTCCATCTCTCTCTCTCTCTCTCTCTCTCTCTCTCTCCCATCCTCCCTTCCTCCCTCCCTCCCCTGAAATAAAATGGAAAAAAGTTTTTAAATTACATAAAAAAGAGTAAAAATAGCCATCCATCAACTATTTATCTACAATCACTATTTTAGAACAATTCAATATTCACTTCACATTCACAATCTTTTTGTCTCCTGAACTATATCAAATAAATACAGACATGATGATCTTTTACCCTGCATATGTTTTCTAAGAACAAAAACATTCTGATATAATTTCACTTTCATAATCACAGTCAGTATATTTGTGATTATACAGCAACATTAGGTCCTGTACAGCATACATTAAATTTCTCCAATCGTTCCAAAAATATTTTAACCTTTATGTTTATTCCAGAGCACAACGGGTCTTCAGGAAGTTCATGGAAAATGAATTTTATGAAAAAAACCTATTCGTAGATTTCAATTTTTGCACAAAAATAAGTTTATTTTCATTCTATTTTTTCCAAGAACTTATATGATTAAGGACGGCACCAGCCCGCATTGTGGCCAAGCAGGTTAAAGCCCTGGCCTGGATCGCTGGCATACCATATGAGTGCCAGCTGTAGTCCTGGCTGCTCCTCTTCCAATCCAGCTCTCTGCTATGGCCTGGGAAAGCAGTGGAGGATGGCCCATGTCCTTGGGCCCCTGTACCCACCTGGGAGACCAGGAAGAAGCTCCTGGCTTCGGATTGTCGCATCTCCAGCCATTGTGGCCACCTGGGGAGTGAACCAGTGGATGGAAGATCTCTCTCTCTCTGTCTCTACCTCTCTCTGTAACTCTGTTTTTCAAATAAATAAAATAAATCTTTAAAAAAAGGACAGTGCGTAGCATTGAATTGTTCTCTCTCTTCTATCCTTAAGCAAGAACAGTCTTTCCAACTGTTTCTACCAAGCAGGGATTGAAATACCAGTATCTACCTTACAGAGTTGGTGGGAGAGGGCACCTAATGATGCCCAGCACCATGGACTCCTCCCATGCACCCTCAGCATCCAGCAGCCTGCTCTCTGCAGCACTTGTTGTTGGGGGAGTGAACAGGAATCACAGGAAGAAAGAGCCCAGCACAGCCTCCTACACAGTACTTAACAACGCGCAGCACCATGGACTCCTCCCTGCCCCCACGACATCCAGCAGCCTGCTCTCTGTTGCAAACAGCAACACCTCATTCCAGAAGCCTGAGTTCATGTGAGTCCTTGCCAAGGAGCGAATGGGGCCCACAGGTACTCCCCAGTTAAATGCTTCTGAGAGGGGTAGACTGAGAGCCACTGCAGGGTCAGCTCCTGCTTCCAGGAGGCCACAGACGAGCCTCTGCCCCTGAGCCTGAAGCTGTCCCTAGATGAGGGCTTCACGGTGGCCTTGTGACTGCACAGGTGGAACTGCAAGTGATAATTCACAGCCTGGACCAAAATCCCCAAAGGCCCTGGGTGTCCACCTTGCTCTCCCATGACACTGGCCTGTTCTGCCTTTTTCTGTGCAAATAATCAGCATTGCGCTTCTGTTAACCATGATCAGCAAGGAGGGCATCACACACACACATGTCCTGTCCCATGTATGTGTGTGGCTCCCTCATTGCATTTACAAACCACAGGGTATCCAGCATGCTACTTCTAATTTGCTTTTATTTCAAAAGACAGAGGAAGGCATTCCCACATGTGAGCCACAAACTGCCACTTTGTTCTCCACTTAGGATGGCAGAGGGAAGGCCTGAGCCTTTCCCATGACAGACGCCAAGGCAACAACACCACCAAGCAGGTCAGCATCGAGCACTGAAGTTGCCACCAAAACCCACAGAGCTCAGATGTCCACTGGAAGCTTCTACGCTATTCCTAGGGAACAACATTACATGGGTGGTACTGCCCCCCGCTGCTCACAAACAATCCCCACTGGGAGTCTGACTGCTGAGCCTGCCGATGACCCCGGCCCTGGGCACCACTCATTATGCCCAACTCCCTTATGGGGGAGAAGTCAGGATCTGTTTACCCACTGCCCACTGAGAGGAACACGCAGTGCAGAGGCACAGAGCACCACACAAGCCAAGAAAATCCACTGCATCTGATGCTTGAAGCCTGGTAAGACGTCCCTTTGCCTTTCCCTGTTGCTAACGCGCCCAGTACTAAGCCTGCTTGTGGACAACATAAATTGAATGTTTTCTCAAGCACCAGCACAAGCCAAAGGAACTTCCTGATGGTTCGTCAAACACTGCAGAGAGATAGCAAACTCTATGCAGGCTGCCATGGACTGAACCGTCTGTCCCTCTGAAATCCATGTGCTGAGGCCCTGGAACCCAAGGTGAGGGCGTGAGGAGGCAAAGCCTTTGGGAGGTGGCCGGGGTGGGGTCTCCCCTGATAAGAGGAGGCAGAAACACCAGAGTTCCCTTCGGCCTCCTCCAAGTGAGGACACAGCAAGCAGGGAACCCACTCTACAAGCACCGCGATCGCGGCCTTCCCAGTCTCCAGACGTGAGAAAGCAATTTCTGCTGCCTGAGCCACTCGTCCTGTGGTGCTCTGTTCCAGCAGCCCCAGCTGCCCAACAGAGTAGCAGGAGAGACCCCAACAAGCTCCCAGTTATAGGAAAGCAGATGAAATGGCTGTGCAGGGAGCTGGAGCCACAGATGCGCAGATCACAACTCTTGAGATCTTCAACAACTCCCCAGAGAAGTTGGGGGGAATTCTGAGGGGTACATGCTCACAAGAAAGAACAGGAACACAACTCAGAACCCACACACTCAGGAGAGGAGCAGGACAAAGAGGCCCCGTTCATGATCTACGCCACAAGACACAAAGCCCTTTTCCTGTCACAGCCAAAACACTGGGAACACAGGACAGAACAAGACAGGGTTCTTGTGCCACACACCTAAAGCATGGCATCTGGCCTAGTGTTTAGGACACCCATGTCACACATCAGGGCTCGGGCTCCTGACTCTAGCTTCCTAACAGGGCAGACCCTGGGAAGCAGTGGCAATGGCTTGAATACCTGGGTTCTTGCCAGCAATGTCAGAGACCTGGATTGAGTTCCTAATTCCTAGTTTCAGCCCTGGGGCCATTTTAGGCATTGTGGGAGTGAACTAGAAAATGGGAGGTCCCTCTCCCCC